ACATTTTTGAAGTTTAAAATGAAATTTATCACTATTGGTTCGTTGAATAGTTATAAACTTAATTTGGGATATATATATATAACACAAAGATATTTGCATCATAAATGAAAGAGAACGTTACATTTAATGTAAAGTTTTTATTTTAATATCAACATAATTTTATCAAATTATTATATCTATTAGGTAGGTACTTATATTGTAAAAAAATGTTTTGAACTTCATCGTTTAAAAATATTTTATTTTTGTTTATACTCAAGTATTAATATTCCATAGTAAAATATAAACCATAATATTAACTTCTTAAACTACTATTAATAATAAATAATTTCACATTTTCATTTTAATATTGCGTTTTTTTATAATAATTTGACAACTTTTTTTTTTTCAGTTGAACGACTTTAGTCAAAATTGGGCTGATGAACTGGCTAAAAGAGACGTAGCGTCACATCGCCCAAATAATGCCTATGGTGAGAATATTTACACCATTAAGTCAACAGAACAAGTGACTGAATTGGGCACTAAAGCAGTAAACAGCTGGTATAGTGAAATAAAATTTTTTAATTTTCAAGGATCAAATGATGACATGGCTGCTTGCACAAAATCTTGTAATTTTAAAATAATTTTTAACCATTGCATATTTTAAATATTTTTTCTTTAGAGTAACATAGAAATTGATTTATTGAACTTTTAAAAATGTTCTTTATATTTTTATAGTCGTGATTTTGAGCAAATTTTAATTATTTTTGTTTTAATCGTGCACACTGAAGATCAGACAAATGAAATAACTTTTGTTCTAATCAATTTTCTTTATAAATCGACTTGTGCGTTACACGTACCTATAGTATAATAATTTTTATTTTTAGTATTGAAAATAAATAAAATTAAATCTGATATAATTTTTTTTGAAAATTTCTAAGTAGCCAATTTGTAAATCTGGGATTTTTTGATTTTAAAATCTGTTATCTGAATCAAGTGGTTTATTTATAATGATTTTCTAAAATGTCAAAATTATGAACTAACTCATTAACTTGAAAAGTAATAACTTTTAAATAAATATTTAGATTTTAACAAGTGTCTATTTATAAATTCTCATAAAATATTTAAAAAAAGTTTAAATTTTTTGAATTCAAATGTTTTTTACGACTAGATCAACTTTACTTAACAAAAAACATTATATAAAATTGAAAACTTTTTATTTTCAACACTAAGAAATAAAAATAAAAATTGTATACTATACGTTTAGCACAAGCGTATATAAATTATATATATAGAAAATGTATCATAATATTTATAAGAACAAAAGCTATTTCATTTATCAGGTCATTCTGTTACAGTGTTACCTTCTATATATTGATTTGTTTAGTTTATTATTGTCCGCATATTAGCTTGTTTTGGTTTTCATTAATATATTTTGTACACGATAACTGTTAACAGGTTTAATATAATTTGACAAGTACTTACAAATAAATAATAATATAAAAAAAAACGTTGTTAGCAACAAATTGATTGGTACATTTAAACATTTTATACTATTAAAAATTTTTAAACAAAATTCAAAAGAATAATATACATAATTATGTATCAAAATAAAAACATTTTCCTGTTACTTACTTTTAACTACCATCATTGATGAATATAATTATTGATTTCATAATTTTTTTCAGTTCACTTCACCCAACTTATTTGGAAGGACAGCAGTGAGCTTGGCGTTGGTGCATCCAAAAGTTCTAAATCCGGTAAATTATACGTAGTGTGTAATTATGACCCTCACGGAAATATTAGATCACAATTTAAAGATCAAGTTTTGCAAGCATCTGGTTAGTCCATGACCAGAGTCACAACCAAATCAATATTATATACACACGAAATTGTTATATATTTAAATCGACGATTGTCTTTGAGATAAAAAAAAAAAAATCAACACGTACAACAATATTGTTTGAATTCATTTTTTAAATTTTTATTTCATAATATAATAGTTATTCAATAAAGATAACTTTACGCTAATAAGGCTTTTAGTTATGTCAATACAAAAGATACAAGGGTTCGAGAATAAGATAATTAGTCTCTATTATTTATCATTGTTCCCACAGTTGAACAATATCGCATGTACCAAAACGTCAGCGTGTGATATTGTACTCGTAGTATAAGAAAATAATGCTATCACATTAATACATTTAATAATACGACAATTAATAGTCTATGACTTAAAATATAAATATACATTTACATACATTTATCGGTCAAGTCTACTTTGTATGATTTCCATACATTGTTACATAAATAGAATCATAAATATATAGGAACTAAAGTCTAGACAAATTTCATCACCACTGCGATGTCCTATATAATATAATGTCTACAATTTTAGTTAATTTTTTACTTTGAGTTTACCGAACGACATCAAGGTATACCTATTGGTATTTTTAACGTTTTATCTCATTTTCAACTACCGTAATAATATTATATTAGTATAACATTCATATCGATCGCGTATTGATAAATCAAATGGTCCCAGTTTCGCGTGTTCACCAATGACACAAATACTTGCGAAATTTACAACATAAGGTATACATTTTTATGAACATCAACAAGAACATAAAAACGGGGCACGATCTACATAACTCTAATTATACAATAAAGCGTGCAAGTAAGAAAATATGTATATTATAATATAATATCTTAGTATATATTATAACAATTAACATAATATAGAGGGACAATAAGGGAGGTATATCACTGATTTTATTTTATTCATTAGGTTTTTCTAACGAGAATTGTATACTTATATCGTTTTAGTTTATATCTTTCTTTTGTGTACGCCCTACATCGAAAATTGTATTAAATCCCTAATTTGTGTGAAACTTTTGAGTTCATTGTTTTTCAATGATATTTGTCATGGCAAAATAGATATACAATAGTTAATATCTACCTATGTTTAAAATTCAAATTCCACCATCGTATTTAAAAATAATGTACCTACTAACTCACAACACAGATCATAGGTAGAAATGCAATTCATCGACTGTGTAAATACTATGAGCGGATTCCGAAACACGTAAATAATAATAGTATTGAATCATTATACCTATTTTAATTTTATTTCAGAGTAATCTCCACGCCCGAATGTCCATTTAAATATTATATTCAAAACCAAAAACAAAAAAAAGTCTATTGAAAAATATAATATTTTCCTCCGTTTTTAGTAGATATAATATGTTATCTAGAGGAAGTATTTTTTTTTTTTATTGTAATTATTTTACATTTAAATTATTTAAAAACTCGATACACAACAATAAAATATGATAAATTTGAGATAAATTGAATATCTGTCAAACAATATTATTGACTGTAATTGAAATTCGGAAATCGGAATCAATAAATGTTTGTTATCAGTTATCACAAACTCTCCACATCATCGTAATGTTACTTGAATCATAATATTATTAATTGTAGTTACGATAAGATATTTTACCAACACTGAGACTATTATAACGCAATATAAATTACACATGGTGCATGATGACATCATTAGTGATATGGTTGTTGTTTAGTAATATTAGGTAAAAAGAAAACGAAAACATTTCAATGAAGTAAATTGTACGTTATAGATAAGTCGTGTCGTCGACAGCTAATTGTTTGAAATGCATCGAATATTCAAATGTCCAAATATTTGACTGATATGTGTTTAAATGGTATATAATATTATGTATTTCTATATTTTTATGGCGGAAAAAGTGGCTGGGAAAGGTTTTGGTTTTGTTCAGAATATTACGGGATGGGTGAAAAAAAAATGAAGAACCATTTAGTGAAAAAAATGTACACTTCTCATGGTGCAGTTACCCCTGTGTTGACAATATTTCGCTCGATAACAATATTATCGTATGAAACCCTGTTCGTTGGCAATATTTAAAGATCATCTCAAACGAAAGAAAAACCGTTTCGCAGCCGACCGACGCGTCGTATGTACCTATCTACCAGTTTATTCTTTACCCTATTAGTTCCATATTGTAAGTCCCCTATCCTAACCGAACGAAATTTTTTTGTCTTCGTAGATTTTATACACCTATATAATATTATTATATTACCTGTACACATATAATGTTATGTATACAGTGTAGTCATGTGCATATTTATTTTGGCACATAATCGTTTTGATTTCCCACGTGCCGGTGCCGTACGACTTTGCAGAAATGAAAAACATCGACCGCGTTCGCAAACTTCACATATACGAATAAAACATATAATAATATAGAACAACGCTGAATGTGAAGACTGCGTGGAACGCATAAGGATGTGATAATATTTTGTTAGGGATATGTTGCTCTTTTATCTTAGACATATGTACAATAATAGTAAAATATTGCAATATGCATCTGCGTACGTATGTGAGTGTGTGTGAGTGTGTGTATGCGTCTTTGTGTGTGTATAGCCTTTGGAGTTACCCGTGAAAAGGGTTTGACTCGCATGAATTGTTTTTGAATGTACCAACACATACATTTTTTTTTGAAACGATTACGAAAACATTTTTTTCTCAAAGAGTCGAAAACTTGTGTTGAAATATTCGCATGAGATTATTGTCTTTATTTATGTATATGTTGTACGGTTATGTTTTTGAAGTTGATGAAAAACGACTAACATTATTCAATATCAATATTCCGAAATTTAAATTCATTGTCGACGGAAAAAGGCGTATGTTTGGTCCAGTTTAGCAGCTCGTGATATTTTCAACACTGACGCCTCGTAATAAAGTGTGTGTATTGTGTAGGTATGTGTGTGTGTGTCATAAACGATAATTATAATAATTGTCGTGGTCTTCGTTGTCGTTGTCGTTGTCGCTCGCGTGTGATGACATATTTAATTATAATATTGTACAATTATAGCAATATAATATCTGTGGACCGGATGTGGAAGCAATCGGGAAGAACGTGAGTGACGTGCGTTCACAGCCACTTGTTGCGAGCGTTGTTGCTCTTCCGTTTGCCCCACATCAAGTTGTATCATACAATCGTGCCCTGCAAGTGTTCGTGCGACGAGTGCGGCGACATGACCGGCGACGGCAAAGGCGGATGGTGCAGTGACGGCACCGTCACCATGCTCGTGTTGCTGGACATGCCGGGCGAGGACACTTCTTCCGGCGGAGTCACCTCCAGCCCGATGCTGCCGTTCAGCGCGATCTTTATGGCACTGCCGCTCATCTCGCTCGGGTGCAACTGCGAACAGACAACGGTGGCCGGCATGAGCGTCGTCGTGCCGGAGGCGTTTGTCGCGGCCAGATCGGGTCGGTGGGTGTCGTAATGGTGGTGGAGGTGGTGGTGGGTGCGAGGGGCAGGTGTCGGTTTGATTGGTAGGGGGAGGTGGTGGTTGCACGTCTAGTGAAGGGTTGTGGCCTGGAACGTGCGATGTGCATGGGATATTGCGGAATGGTTAGAAGTGGTGGCGACGGTGTAGCCGTGGAGGTAGTGGAGATGAAGGTATCAGTGCCGCAATTAAGGGGGGGGGCAGGGCGACGCCCTGCTAAAAGGGCACTATGAGATTATTTTTAGGGCACAATTCCTGTGATTGGATACCTTCTGTGTTAGTCTAGATTCAATAATAATAAAAATTATAAAAATTAAAAAATATAAAATGTTTATCTATTTCATATTTTTTTAACAATTTCTTATTGATTGTATAGTTGTACGCATAGATATATACAACAACTAGACTGCAGCCGTCTCCTTCTTGTCATCGAAGTCGGCCGCCATTTACAAAGCAGTCAATGTTTACAAAATAATATTATCATGGTATATATGTATAGATAAATATATAGGTATGTATATAAATCAATGTAAACATTGCATGATTTATAAATGGCGGCCTATTTCAACATTGGTCACAACTGTAGTTTAAAGACGGCTAATGGCTATCTAGTATATATCTATGACTGTACGATATTACGATATTTATTCTCTTATCGGTTTTATAATCAATTTTTGATTTCTCTGAAATTCTATAATATTATGTGGCCATGACGGTAATCGGAAAAAAAGTCCCACACTAGGAAAAAAATGAATTAAAATATATCAAAATTGAAGTATAAATATGTTAAAATTGTAATGAAAAATAAATTAAAGTTACATAAAAAATAGAAGGGAGCTTACATACCTATATACTATATACTATATAATGTATATTATATTTTAATATATATATTAATTGTATTTGTATTTATTATTGACTATTGTATTACATTTTATTATTCAATAGATTTCTATTAAATTTAATTTTGTTATATTTTAATATGTTATTTAAGTAAGTACTTAACATTTTTTATGTAACTTTAATGTATATTTCAATTTACTTTTAACATATTTAAACTTCAATTTTGATATATTTTCATTAATTTTTATCGCGACTTTTTTTTCCTAGGATGGGATTTTTTTTACCGGGACTTTTATACCGGAACTTTTTTTTCCTCGATTCAGCCATGACATTGGTGATTGTACTGTAGTGTTTTATAACCATGGTTAAAGCACAGAATAGGTTTAATCTATTCTGTGGTTAAGGTGTTTATAATATGAACACTGATGTAAACAAATTTGAGAAATCATCCTACGATGCATCATGGTTATAGTATAATAACTGTGGAAGGATTGAAAGCATTTTATTACAGGAAGGTGATATGAGGGTAATATGATGTACGGAAAATTGGGGCATTAAAACTTCTGCTGCAATGGGGCCCAAAAATCTTAGTTGCGGCACTGGAAGGTATATCTAGTCATTAAAGTTTTATTATTTCACGAGATATGGGCTGTTTTTTATTTTTGACACTCGCTTTCTTAGTCAATTGTTCTTTTGTGCAATTATTGTTGTATACAAGTTTGAAGTACACTATAGTGTCTATACTATATATATTTTTTTGTTTATGAAAAGTCAACCAGGGAGTGTATTTATGTTGGCAAGCAACAAACAATAATTGCATTCTTGAAGAGATTTCGAGTGGAGATTGGTATACCAAAAATTCGTCAAGCTTTAGTTTTTATTTTTTTCATCAGAAATTATATCTCATATAAAAACTAAAAATAGACAAAGGTAGATTTTTTTGTGAAAACAAGTAGGAACTATCACAATATAATGTCATAATCAATGAATTCTTTACAAATATAAAATAGGTGCAATGAAGAGTACAAAATTGACCTTGAAAACGAACGTAGTATGTTAAATGGATAAATAATGATATAATATTCTACTTAATATTGCTATTATAAAATAATACTGATTCGCTATAATAATTATAATATATTATATGCATATAAATCGTACGCCCCGAATAGGGCATGATGATTTAGTTGCAGTCTACTTAATATTATTATCGTTAAGTTTGTAATATTATATATTCTGAATGACAACATTAACTATGTAGAGTGTAGACTATAGATTACAATGTACGCATGCGTCGGTGGCGATGAAATCAAAAGGTCCCGTCCCGGATCGTCTGTGTGCCTCTGCGTTGTGACCTTATACGCATTTAATAGAAACCACTGCAGAAACCATGTGATGGACATTATTTTAAAGCGGGTATGTGGGAGAGAAGGTTTTGGTTTGAATAACATACATGAAAAGCCCCAAAGATTAAATTTGAATTCAACACAGTGGACGGCATCGACGTCGCACACGGTTCGAAACGCAGGTGAACGATTAAATTAAATGACGACTACAATATGAGTACAAGGTACACTATAACGTCGAAAAACAAAATCCATATGTAACTGTTGTTATCTACCAGCATAACGGAGCGTTAAGTGCAATCTCTATAGTTCTAATGTCAAGCCGTTGTGCAGATTATTATCGAGGCTAGCTGAAATAACTACAAAGTTACCTCAGACCGCCTTCGCGCAGTGACGATATTTCTCATTGATCGAGCGCTTAGGCTTACTTGCATACTGGGTCTACGTTCGTGAGCAATTGACCCGATAGGAAAGTGAGACACTCCTAACTCTTCGAGGCTGCTCTTCCGGTTACACGTCATGGAAAGCCCTTGTCTAAGCGAATTGGACCGTCTTAACAGTATGTCGTCGACTACACGTAGAGAGTTGGACCGAGCTCGGAGGGCACTGCCCACCGTCGGGCTGTCTGGCAATGACAGGCTGTTTGCTTTGGTGGTGACTAACGGCGGTGGCCTGGTCATGAACGGGGGGAACGCCATGCTCGATCCCCTTCTCGAACCGAATCCCAGCTGTCCGATTGTAGAGTTGAAACTTATGTTGGACTTCCGGCGGCTGTTGTGCCTCTCGAACGTTTTCTGGGCCGAGAATGGACTGGGTCGTAAAATATATCTGAACAAATATAAAAAATACGACAGTCAGAATGGAACGACGATGCCGTTGACATTTTGTCTTACAAACGAATAACACTCAACAAGGGTAAATTAATATTGATAAGTGTGAAAGAATATAATATCATAATTTATATTTAATTATAAAATCGAGATAAAAATCGAGCCATTAACAATTTGCATTTAAAGAAGCGTGTCTTACACAATATCACCCTCTTCGAGTTTTAGGTCACAGCTAGGGTTGATAATGACGTATGACAGACTGCTCCGTTTCTCGCTGACTTCTTCGTGGTCGACAGCAGGTAAATTTAAACTGTCCATTCGAGATCTGACCAAGTTTACTATTTCTGCTCGCTCGATCAAGTTGTCGTGATTATCCCGGGCGTCGTCGTGCATGTTAATTGAAAACTGTGTAAATATATACCAATCAAAGTGTTTTTTGTTAAAAAATAATAACGGTATAGTTGTGTTAATTGCATTGTGATATGGGTGAAATGGTAAATTATATCTGTGCGTGTATGCGATCAATCTATATTGTAGTACGATGACACGAACTTTTATCGGGTGAATAAAATGCTGGGTTATTTCTTTGAAATTTGTATTTAGTTTTTTGTCAAATGTCTCTACAATATTGCAGCTGTATATTATCTAGCAGAGCGTTTTATTTTTATTTCTACATTGGTTTATGGTTTGAAACGTATTGTTTAATCAATATATTCACTACTGCACTATATAGGCACTTCAATTACGTATTATTTTACGAAAATAGAATAAGTCTGTGCTGAAAAGCAACATATAATATGTATATTGTATGTAATTATATAAACTACCTAATTAAACTAATACTGTTGACTGTTTTATATTTATTCACTAGTCATTGTAATAAAATTCAAGGTACCTATATATCTAATTAGACGTTCAATATCACTATACCTATTCATTATAATATTATGTAGAAAATATTTACTTATCTTTCATCGGTATACTTTAACTTTGAAAAACATCTTTGGTTAAAACTGGGAGAGTCAACTAATTTTTTTAACTCCTTAAGTTGAGTTATTGTAAAAAATATATGTTATGTTTAAAATTTAATGTTAATCATCTTTTTTTATTAACTTACAAGGAATTAGAAAAATAAGTAACTTAACTTAGTTAAAAACCATTTACATTTTTCATTAATAACTAATATTTTTTTATTATAAGAAAAATAAAATAATAAATCTTAATTGATAATAACTAATGAGTACAGTGAATGGATAAATTAGTAATATTTTTCTTTTCTCAATAATAGTTACCCCATATGGGCTATTTCTATTTTGTTTAATATATTATATGATATTCTGTGAGTATGCAATTACACTATTATTATAAATTGTAAATCATTTTTTAATTACTATTATAGAGTCAAGAAATAGTGCAAAACACTTCAACAGTACAATTTATTAGGCACATATATATGAATTATATTTAATATTAAATTTATAAATAATACAAATAATATTTTGAATTTCCGAAAACATAATATTATATTTTAAATCTTATAAAAGCTTATATTAGGAAATAGCTTAACTTGACAATAAAATTAATTAACTCACAAGTTACTGCATAACATGGACAAATATTTAAATCCCTAAGTTAGAAGTTACTTCTTAAAAAAGGTAACTCGTGATGTAGCTTAGTTAAAAGTAACTTAACTTAAACTTATCAACCCGTTAATATACCTATCGTAGACTTTGGTAATCTGATTTTTATTCAGAAATTTACTTAAGATATGATTTGTAATATCGATTTCTAATTTATAAAAAAAAAAAATGTATTACACTGTCATTTACAACTATTATTAAAACGAGAAACGTGTTTAACACTTTAAATTTTTACTATAAAAAGTTTTAGAGATTACATGAAAGGTTTTATTTTGATTTCCCATGACATTTTTTTTTTGTACTATTTTATAATTTTGAATACTAATCTGTGTTTGTTATTCTGTTTTAAATACCTAATTAACAATTTTATTATTTTGGATTTGTATAATTTTTATTAATTAAGAAAATATTGATAAGATAATACACATTTTACTGATTTTGAAAATCATTTAAAAATTAGGCCCTTGTGAATAGCTGGTAGTCAATACGGTGACAATATTATTGCTATTATCTGGCTATTAATGGTCTGGGATTTGGTGATAATGTATAGAAAACTGAAAAATGAAAATAAATAAAACAATTTCCTTCTGGACTGCTTTAGATTCTGAGCCAAGCAATGAATGTATTGGTTTTGATGTGGCAATGATGTGTGTTTTATCATTTAAGGATAACGATTTTTGTTATTTTTATTAATAATAAGGAAAAACAATATATAATATGTAATATAAAATATCCTAAACCGACAAACCATCTCCGCTCAGAATCGTTTTTCGTATGCAATGATATTATATCATTGAATTCAAATTTAATACCATCCATTACAGTGACCCACTTGTAACCTACTGTACAGCAGAGCGACATCCACTTGCCCGCTTTTTTTTAGTTAATCATCATTTTTGTCCTACTTTTTATAAAATATTAAATTATCATTAATTAGCAAGTTAATGTTATTCGATCAAATATAATAATTAAATTGTATTGATTAATTGTCACACCTTTGAGTGGAGGAAGAAGGGTGAAAGAAAAGAAGAAGAAGAAGATCTTTGAGATAATTTTAATTAAAATTGAAGGCAAAAATTATGTGTGACCCATGTAACACTCATCTACTAACATTTCTGCGTACCTCTTTCACTTTTTATACAATTTAAATATAACAGACATTTAGGTACCTATATAATATATTATAAAAAAAATAAAAAGGTTTTGTTTTAAAATTGCACTCTAGAAATTGTTCCGCTCAATCGATGTTGACTAGTAATTATTTTCACGCTATCAACTGAATGTGAACTATTGACAAATAGTATGTTTATCAATATTAACATTCAGTGTATGAATAAATACAAAAATGTAGAATTTAAAAATAATTTACAGTTTTTTATTACATTTAAATACTTCTATTTGTCAATTCAATATTCTATCTAAGTACTATAATAGATAGTTTAGAAAAAAATGTTTTTATATAATCTACTTATTATCAGACTAAGCTGTATAACATTTTAGCTCAACCGTATACATAAAGCGCATTCGAGATAAGATTAATTCAAATACAGAATAATATGTAAACAAATATCGAATAATATTATATTATTGTGCGATTGTATTTGATTATTTTGATTTGTTATGAAGATTAATATTATGTTTGTTATAATGCATAATATTACTCAAGCATTAAAAACGTTTATGACATGCATTACTTATTGTTTTCTAACATTCAAGATACCTTGTGACTTCCAAAATCAACTCATTTAACATTATGTGAAAAATAATACTAAATATATCAATATTTTATACTAAGAATATAAAACTGGATTAAGTTTTTCACCAATTGGAAGACTAATGAGACATAGGTATTTTTGTTTTGTATAGCATTTGGGTAATGTAATGGTTTTATGTTGAACAAGTCAAATAGGTCAAACAGTCAATAGATCTGATTATTTATTTTTGTCTATAGAATACATATAGGTAGGTACAATGTACATACATAATATTTTTAATTTTTTTTATGATTTTAAATGCATAAGAAAATACATAGGTATTATATAAATAAATCAAACACCAGTGACTTTTTTTGTCGTATCTTTTTATTCTTTTTATTCGAAATTATGATAGAAAATAATATTTAAATTCATGTTGCGACTATAAAGTTTGTGTTGTATTTTCCATTTATTCATTTTTACGTACCTCTCTAATTGACATTTCAAGTGCTTTTTTTTATAGTTTAACTTCCATTTGTTAAAAATTGATGTACATAAAATGTGAAGTTTTGTTTATCAGGTAATAAAATTGAACTTTTTAGTAGCCACTTCGATGCTCGATGAAAATAGATTTCCATGAAAAAGTTAGTATATTATTATAGTTAATTCATTATAAGAAGTCATTGCGTTGGATATTTTTTTAAACTCTGCTAATTTATTATTATTTATTACTATTTACTTAAGTACTCACTACAGAATTTTGGTTCCTGTGGCAATTAGGCAGACAGTTAGTTGGAATGGGCATGTAAGCTTCGTGATCCGAACCCTATGTTTAGGAAATAATAAGCCAGCGATATGAATTTAGGACCAAGTGAGAATACAAAGCATTAGTGAAATAAATATACATAATGATTGATAGATGTTAGTTATAGATGCATACCTCAGATATTTTATCGCAGTCTGTACCACATGCATCCTGTAAGTTACAGAAGAATAAACTGGTAATTAGAAAGTTGATAGTCTCAACGTGTACATTGGTTGGCATTCAGTGAAGAAATTAGTATAAATATCAAACGAATTATTGAAAAATCTACTAGTATTAATTGAGTAAATTGCACATACCGGTGGTGATTCTATGTTTGACAAGTCTTGAGTTCTGTAAATGCCTAAAGGTATCTCACAAGTAGTAGAACACAATTTTTGGTAAAGTCGTCCGTATGTTCGTATCCACATATCTTCTTTTGTAATTTTCATCTATATATATTATATAAACATTGATGTTTAGGATGTTTAGATGGTTATGTTAGTATGGTATACATGGTTTGTCTACCTTACATTAGTATACATAACTCTACGGGGAATTAAAATACACAACATACAAATAGCCTAATTTATGAGCTAGGTAAGTCATCAGATTCAGTACCTATTCTACACGTATAATATTTCTAAATCGTATTTTCGTAAATTATCATAGGTATGTTTATTATTGTTTGTATTTTTAATTAATTATTATTAAGGCTTGAGAATACGCCCAGCCATTACGTTAGGAAAATTTCTTTGGTAACTGGTACTTACCGAGGTTAGGAAACCAGAACCAGGAGCCTGGTCTACGCCCAACAGTAATCTTACAAAAGTGATGACATAATCTTTTACAAATGCTTGGTATAACAGTGTATCTAACATGCTGGCGCTGAATACAGAACCAGCCGCAAATGGCAGTCGGAACATGTAAGATATGTGTGAGCCTCTTTCTTTTTCATGCTATATATTGAAAAAAAAACATAAATCAACAAATGTTGTTACACTAATATTACAATAAATTCGAATTATACCTTTAAAACATTATACTTAGTTATAAGGATAACTTAGGTACGGGTTTTATACATTTAAAATAGTATAATGTAAAATTCAGTTACATTTTGTATTCATAATTTATATTAATATCGCTTTTATTTATTAATGTGACACGAAAGACTGGAAACTATGCGTATATACACGTAGTTAAATAAATATAAATTAAAAATTTTAATTTTGCAACATTCGGACTTTAATTACGGATAACTATTATCTTATATAGGTGCCTATATTTTGAAAATGTTTATTAATTTAATAATTTTTGTTATCAACTTTAAATGTTAAAAGGCGTCGTTCAAAGGTTAATTGACAGAGTTCCTTTCAGAATAGTATGATTTTAAAATGCAATGTCTTACAATTACTTTCAAATGTATTATTTTAATACTCTGTACCGATTAAATGCTCCACCTTCTACTGTATTATAGTAATCATAAACATAAAATAAAGAATTTACAGAGAGTTGAGTGTGAAAATATTTAGACAAGTAAAAATGTTTACGTGCTCAGTTTATGCAGTCACATAATAAAATATATTATCAAAATAATTATATTATAATCAGTTATAAATTAATTCAGGTGAGTTACATGATTAACATAATATGTTAATTTTGTTATTGTATGAACGCTGATAATGTTCAATTGATGATGATTAACACTTTAAATAATTATTAATAATGTTTAAAAAATATGTAATAAATATTAAAAGTATTTGCATATCACACACAATGTATGAGATATTAATTGTGCAATAGATAACGATACAAAACATACATAATGGGTTACAGTGGCCTCATTTTTATAATTTGAAAGTTTGCATTGTATATCGACTGCATCGCATAATGCCTTTTTTCATAATTCGAAGAAAATCGTACTTACTTTTTCCATTTTTGATAAGTGCAGCGCATAGGTGTCTTGTGCTCTGAATTGCATAAATCTCATATTGGATGATTGAGATAACTCAGTTATACTACGAATGTTGGGAAAGAACCTATATTTGTATTTCAAATCATGATATTATATATATAATGATAAATATATTTAGGTATATCCGCATCATGCTTATATCAACTTTATGTATTCAATAAAAACAAAGTTTTTATAGTCAATTTCTAAATTGGATATGTATAATGTACATATATTATTGAACGATCAAAAACAGTTTGATATAACTGAAACAAGTTTCTGTAGTAGGTATACCTAAGAAATTACTTTGAAATATTAATGTTTTCCAAGGGGAAAATACTTACTTAAACATTGTTTGGACTGCTACAATTGTATTACAGTCTGCTAATGTTTCCTCTTCAGCTGAATTTGATAGTTCTTTATTTACCACCACTACGTTTTCTGCTAATAATATTCCAGCCCTCAAGAGATCATCCAAACTGAAAATCATATTATTGTAACTATAAATAACTCGTATAAATATTCTGCAGAATAACACGGTACATTTTATGTAAACAGTACAAGTGAGTGTAATTTAACTATACGCTATTACATGTATTTCTCACTCTGAAACATTAGTTCTGGTATTGTCAGAAAATGTCTGACACATTATGATAATTATTGTTATTTAAGACGAACGTACACGCTTAACAGCACATTAAAATTAATTTTGCCATTTTTATTAATATTACATAACATAGCACATTGCTTCGCTAAATTATATTGTGCGGATTAAGTTATGCAATTCAGCGTGTTTTTCGTTAAATTAAGATATTACACGATTGATGGATTTTATGTTTACTTATTTTCCGGATAGGTAATAAGTAATAACTTGAGCTAATAATGATATTATTTCAATTATGGTATTATGGTTCATTAAGAATCGGGAGGGTGCTTGAATATTGTTAAATTATAGGTTTTTTTGATTAATACATGAATACAAGGTAACATATTATTTCAGGTCTATATTCTATAAATCTATCTATCGCAAGACCAAAAGCAAATTTGTATAGTTTCGTATTAAATACCGATAGCTAAATGTTTGTGCCTGATCAACGAAAAATTCTTCGTTATGCTTCTTGGTCGTCAACATTTCATAACAGTAGTTTTTAAATTAAAAATGATAACATAATATTATTGAACAAGTGGGCTATAGTATAAATATTGCTCAGAAGCTATCAGAGATAAAAAAAAAGGAAAAATATGAATGTAATTATGCATGTAAATATGCACGAAAAAATTTTAAATTATGCATGAAAATATGTCAAATATGCAAAAAAGTCTGATAAATATTCATAAAAATTCAATACTTCAAAAATATAACTTTATGTTGTCATTAATTTGCATCAAAAGATAAGTAAAATTTGAAAAAATAAATTTATAATATTTAAAATATGACGGAAAACTGTATGTTATTTTGATATTTTACTTAACTAATAAAAATAGTTAAAAATATATTCGAAAAGATAGTACACTGAAATATTAGTACGATATGCAGATATAACATGCGCATCGCACCGTTGTCGATAAATTATATAATAGCCGAGTCCGAGTGCGACAATAACAATAAATACCTATATATTATATTAAATCATATTAAGTTATAAATTCAATATTATTATTCAAATACACAGCTTATGAAAGATCATTTATTTTTAGAAAATATTAAATATGCATGTAATATGCGTATAAAAATCAAGAAGTATGCACTTTTTCCCTAAATTCGACAAAACAATATGCAAAGTATATGGATTTTAAATATTCATTTTTTTAACTGACCATTGTATGTCTCAGATTTCTAGCTAGGTCTGCTATAAGTCGAGAGCCTAATATGGAATAATATACAAGTCCTGCAACTTCCAAATCCTACGTAATTATAATTAATATTGGTGGCCGCATAGTTTGTATAATATAAATGTTGTGGAAAATATCAATTTGATTTCTTTTTTTTTCTTTTGTGAACTAAATAGTTGTCTATAGTCTCGATCTCAAATTAAGTAATAACCATCCCGTATCTGTGACAAGTCGTTCGTCAATGTAATACCTATAATATAACTTGTTTGAATAAAACTATTATACGCTTTATTTTCATCGAATCGTATTTACTTTATGTTTGCCCATAGCATTCATACACGTTTTAAGATACTTTTTTTTATCCTTTTATAATACACCCAGCCACCTATAATATATTACAGCAAATAGGTACCTACACTAGTAAGTTTGTTTATCAATAATTCATCAACCTGTCAGATTATGCACGTATTGAATATCCTGTCAGTATCAGATACGGCAAACATAATATATATTATAATAATAAGTTTTGTTGAAATCATTTTTTTCCAGAGCTAAACAATGTATAATAATATTATATACTATATATATATGACGCCATGTGAGTTTCTCATATTATATGTATATATATATTTATTACTTATATGTTTTATTTATCTTCACAGGGTACCTATATAATACTAGTTTAACTGATTTATGACACAATTTACAGTAGGTATAAGCAAAGGGGTCATGTACAATGTACATTAATACACTACACATCAGGAATGTCAAATGCGCGGCATTCGACTCTTTATTTTTGCGGCCCTCGGCACACCAGGATTATTGGACAATTAAATGAAAATAAAAGGCAAAAAATAAAATACGGTTTTCATTCGAGTCGCACTGTGTCGGATGGAGATACATTTGGTATATACATATTATTATCATGCAGTTTACCAGCAAACATTTGTGGCAAAAAATTCTTTTTCCCTTCAAATGGGTGTTTTTATGCGCGCCTCATAGTATTCTATTCAATATTTTTGGACCAGTCGATAGGTCGTACGGCCTGCAGTACATTACATTTTTAAGTATTGATAAATATTTTGGATATTTTGGACATTTTATTATTATTTTTTTCATTCTATGCTTATAATTGTTAAACAGTCTTACCAATCTATGGATCCCAACATCCAGTAAACAAGTGGGAAGTATGAAATGGCGTCTAGAAACGCAATGTCTGGACGTCGTTCTAATAGTATGATGATCGGATTTAAGGACGTTTTCGGATGAAAGTGTGCCCTCAATGGTATGATAAAGTTGTAAATTCCATTGGACGCGTAATCGGCAGCTAAAATTATGGTTTTATTTTGCCAATTGTAGTCATTGGCGTTTCGGTAAGAACAATGTTCACATACCTGTTATTATTAAAATTTGATTAAGTTTATTGATTTTGTTTCGATGGTTGTGCATACAGTATAAGTGACTGGTAAGCTAATTGATGATATACCATTTAATAATTGTACATATTATGTAATTTTTATTTTATTTTTTTTTATGGTGCTAAATAAAAAATAAATGAATAAATTATAAGAATTATTATATGTAGTATATAAAAGTATATACCATCATACCTGGTACTCAATTTTATTTTTAGACCTTACTTTATTTTTGGTAAAAAATTTAATAATAATATATTTCAGTTTAAGTAATTTAGTAATTAGAATTCAGAATAATCGGAAACTAATTATTTAATAAAAATAATGTAGGCACACTGTTCACTGTTGTATGATATAATAAAAAATTAGTTTCAGAATTTGTGGTTTACAAATTATCTTAGTTTAATTAATGAAACTTTATGGACTAAATAACAAACATTGAAAATAATAATTAATATTTTTGTATACCAGCATAGTCTAAGATAGTTCTTACCTAGTAAAAAATAATATTTTCGAGCTTTAATAATTTTATAAAGGCGTATGCATTATGTTGGATGTAATTGTACCATCATCATCATTGACTTCTAACATTTTGGACCTACTAAAATCGCAAGGGTTGTATTTTGGGTTTAAAATGATACGCTTAGAATTTTTTAGATAAATTTGACTTTCTGTAAAACTCTATAGTTATCAGACTAGTGTGATATGGGACACAACATGAAAAATCTAAACTTATACATTAAGTAACGAACGGTAGTAATATTATTATAATACGATTATGTGTCTTAAAAAATAATATTTACCTGGGCGAGCTGTAGACAACACAGTGGTTTTTTTTCTTTTAATAAATAACACAATGTGGGACTGACACCTATGTACGGTGACACTGGTGGGAATCCTTTGACTATTCTATATAAATAAAAATAAATAAATAATAAAAATAGTAAAATTTAAAATAAATTTAAAAAAAAAACGTGTAACCGAAAAATAACACGTTTTACATTTATTATGTTTTGGGTGGACGGTTTTAAATTTTTATTTAACAGAATGGCATAACGTTGCATAAACACTTGCCTGGTCCACTCAGCATGCCAAACAGGCTGTGTGTAAACGTCTTCCTCGCCATCCGCTGTAACGCGGAATCTGAGTTTTTAACAAACATGCGAAAAAAAAACAATGTACAAACGAAATCGACATGCAAAATATTACTAAGTCAAATGTTTCATCTGCCTAAAATATCATATGGAAAAAGGTAAGGTGAGATATTATTTTTTATTCTTAAATATTAATTACTTTTGAGCTCTAAAAAAAGTGAGTTCAATAATGACTATTGTATGACCTATATAATATTATGTATCTATTGAAAATGTGTTTATTTTTAAAATTTTAAATGTCAATGTCAATTTGTCATTTAAATATGTTGTGATGTTGACTGCGTTTCGTAAGCGATAGATAAATTATTAAAAAACAGAATAAATTCAAAAAAGTTTTGATTAATATTTTAATCAGATTTGGGAATCGGCACGTTATATTATTTTTGGTAAAAATAAAATGTAGGAGTCTTACCATTATGATTAAATGTCAAGCAATAATGCTTTTATATATATGTTAACACATATTTTTTACTATAAAGATTCCATTGCGTCAATGATTATTGCTGGCATATTATGAAATAATTAATTAAAAATATAATATGTATTAAAAAACGATAAATTTATATTATTAACTAAGAAAAAAATAGTTGCACAAATATCCCATGTCATATAATATTATTTAAAAAAAGTGATGTGATAATAATTATTAAACAATACCTATGTATAAGATAATTGTGTTACTGTCAAAGTGTCAAAGTTGATATTTTTGACAAAAACCAAATTTAGTAGACATTATTAATAAATACTGGCAAAGCTATTAGACAATGTTGAAAATATATGTAAAACTAATAAACATTAACGCGTCTTTATCCTTTGCATATTATGTTACACCAACAATGACTAGATTTGTCATTATTTAGTATAGTACATTTTGCCACACAATACTTTAAATGTTACTCTAGTTTTCTTAGCTTTGACCTAACCTAATATTTACAATAAGTACGAAAATGCACTTTTTCTATTTTGATAATTTATTAGATTATTACAACCCTTGTTTTTAGTAAAAAATATATATGATACGAAGAAACTAAAAGCAGGGATATAATTTTATATCATATTATACATTTTTATGCCGATTTTAAGTACTTAAATTTATTTTATATTTAATAGAATTAGTTTGATATTTAATGTCATCAATTTACATTAACTCGAAAGCGTCTGTTAGAAAAAAGTTAAAACTACAACTTAATTGAAAAATTGTTAAAGATTGAATACCAGATATAATTTTATTATTTCTTAAAATTTTGGAAATATTAATAACTGTATACCGCCAAGAAACTTTATGTACCTAATGACTTAAATTAATAATCCCGTGTATATTTGATGTAGGTTGTATGGACCTTATGTATTCTTAGTTTTTTTTCGGCTTCAAAGTATTTTAAAATATTTGTTTTACAAGTATAATAAGGAACATAAAAATATTTTCTTCCAGATTTTTTCTACCACTATATTTTTTATACACCAGGGACACTTTATTTTTTTCAGTAGAAAAAAAAAATAAAGATAAGGAATTTTTACTATATTATTCCAATGGGTTCATCAAACTTTATATACCTTACGCAAGAATTTATTAAACTTATTTACTGAGATAATGTTTACATTTGCTACTAAATTATAAACTTCTATAGTACTAAACTACTTTTGAAATTGTATTTTTGATTGTATGAATCAGCTTGTTATATTACATTTTTTTTTTTGAACCAATCAAAACTACAATAGAAAAATATTTAACTCCAATATATTGGTTAAATATAATAATTATATGTTATAGTAACTGTGAGTTTCAATTTCAGAACTCATCAATATTAGGTCAGTTATATTATTCAAATCAGTAGGTAATCACCCTCAAGCAAGGATACAGCGCATACGAACAACCACACAAAATCAAAATGCATGAAAATTAAAAAATATATTATACATTTGTAACTTATTTTATTTTGTATGTCCTTACGCTATTTTTTCACTCGGCGATCTCCATGGAACCTCATCTTCGAGTTCATCTTCGCTTTCGTCTCCATCTTCTTCTGGGGGAGGTACAGATATGTTTAATGACGAACCTGTTATATTTTCAGCGACTGGTAATATACTTGGACGGCGACTACCTAAACACACAATAGTTTAATTCTTTCCTCTATACATTTAGTTGATCGACATCACCTCTTCTTTGACCCAACACTTCAGGGCTCAATAAATTCGGGTTCATATCCATTGGCTTTGGGATATTCAAATGATTACCTACGATTGTCGGTTCTTCCGTTTGTTTGTTATGGAACGTGTAACTTTCTCTGATAGTTTTTTGAACTTCGGTGGGCTTATCTGATATTGAAATATATCATAAATTAAGGTACTATATTGTCTGTACATAAACCAGTTAGTACTGCTAAAATGTAAATAATATTATCAACTCACCATTGTGTAACATACTTTCAAGATGTTTTGATGGCGCAGAACCATTATTTGAAACAACAAACGATGAATTTTCTTCTTTATTAACGCTAATGTAATAACATATATCGGATTTCTTCATTATATGCCTAGGCCCAGGATTTAAAAGTATTGTGTCTTCATAAAATTCAGGTAAATCGGCCGGCCGCACGCCCACCAATGATACACCGAACCTGAGATTGAAGTGAATTATTATAATTTACGTTTAAATTAATATATTTTATATTGATTGTTGTAATGTACTTTCGATGTGAGTGAAAACTTGCATATGTGAAACTTTTGCCTTCGTATTCACCGAAGAATCTACTGTCTCCTAAAAGTATGTGGTAGATTTCATTTCCTGAACATCTACCATACAGCCTATGCCATTCCTCGGGCGAAGTCTGACCTTCCCTGTGCAAAAGTTATACAAATTTTACATATCAGTTAATACGTTTTACAGTGAGACATTATTGTTAAGCTGTCATAAGAATCAGTCTCTATATGTTTTACTAAAAATGAGTTTTTTTTATTATTATAAAAGTAGTACATACTGTCCTCTACTTGTATGCAGTAGAAGTGTTACTAGTGTTGATGCTCCAGGGCATGTGCAGTTATTAGCAAGAAGAGCATATTTTAGCTCATCCTCACATACAACAAACTCAGCAAATTTCACGTGTAATTTATTTTCTGGTCGAAATATTTGAACATATTGGGGAACAGTCGGAGCATAGTCCTTGACCGCCCACGAACGTAGGATTGTATGTTCGTCCTTTTAATATATAGCATGAGTTATGATTTTATTTTTAATAAATTAATTAATGAAAAATATTTACTGCAGCAGTTTTGTCAGCATAATTTCTGGCGGCCAAAACAAAACAAGCTTTAGCGTCGCTCATTCTAGCTCTGGACAGATCTCCATCTTTCAAACACGACCCTTGAATATAAATAACTCTTTGTGCCCAAATAGGTACTTGGAGAATCATTCTCATTGTGGTGTCAAGTTCCATTGGTGATAATAGGACCACAAAATAGTCCTGATAATAATAATTTTAATAAAAAAGTTTGAATAAATAAGCAATATAATACTTTGTAATAAACTACAATTCATTAAATCAATAGTAAGTCAGTTTATTTCACAAACTTTTTTTTTTTTTTGAAGTACATAGGATTATTTAATTTTTTTGTACGCTTGTAAGACCTGACCCTTGGTTTCAAACTTCCAAAGCTATTACTGAAAAACTTGATTTGAAAAACAAACACAAGTTGTACACTTACCCAAATATATGCATATTTAGTTTTTACGATGAACAGGTTATCTAAATAAATTACCTACTTTTATTTTTTATAAAAAAATATCAAAGAAATGCATTTTAACTAACTTTGAGGGTCAACCCTCATTCATATACCTAATTATATTATAATATCATTAAATACTTAAATTTAACTAGATCATCAAAGTTTAACGTATATTTCATTTTGTAGTACATTGAACTAAACATTAATTATAGCATTAATAACATTAATTGTATCGTTCACAAATGTGGTGTGGATATATGCAATAGTCTCTGTTAATAAATTGTGTACCGATGAAATTAATATTATGCTTATAAATTCAAAATTACCTTCAGCCAGAAAATTCTGAATGGACTATAATTTTAATCATTAAAATCTCACACTAAAATAATGAAGTAAACGTAATTGGATATTATTAATAATAACATTACTTATGCTTTTTATACAAATTGAATAAGATGTATCATTATTCTATATACCTAAGTGTATAAAAAAAAATCGTGACTACTAAAAATTAATGTCCTATAAACACATTGCGCTATTAAACCGCATTTACATAAATATATCAAAACTAAACATATAAATACGATGGAAAAACATTTAGTTTTGGTTTTAAATTTATTGAACCGTGATTACTATTTATAATAAGACAATTTATTAAAAAGCATAATAATTTAGAATATTATTTTATTCTAACTTTCGCCGTGACAGTATATATTACTCCTCATTATAGTTTAGTAGTTCAACAAATTAAATTTCCCACCTTCAAGCTTAAAACTTTAGAAATGTAGCTAATATATTATGCTACATATTATAAAGGTACATACGATGTATAGCTGTTTCTATGGATTTTTAATTAAAACTAGAACCGATTAATATTATGACTATACACCAACTTGAAGTAATGGATGTGCGTAAAATTCATTAAGAAAATCCATAATTGTGTCAGCTTGAAGAGTTGTACTACAGACGACTACATGTTTTTCAGAATGTGCTCTATGAGATGAATAAGAACCACCGAGTTTCTGTCTCTCCATCCATGTGAACGCCAACTGTTCGAACTATAATTATTTGAGACAACAAATACAATATATGTTAATTACAATTAAATTTATTAGAACATTAAAAGTGAATTTGACGGAATGTGCTTAAATATTACTTGTGTTGGAAGAACGATGAGTGCTATGCATATCATGACAACCATATAGAGCTGAGAAGGCCAAATGTCTGGCACGAAGTCACCGTATCCGACCGTAGAAAATGTGACCACCACATAATAAGTAGCCTGGAAGAGGCTCAGATGCCGATGGCCAGCTCTTTGGAAATGCTGAATACCACATACACTATACACAGTCAACGTAGTCATAAGCGGTTGTTACTATCTGGCCTGTGATTATAATTGAAGACTCACCTAGTAAATACTAAACAGAGAAGAGTGGCTGAAAGTATCATCAACTGCTGGGACAGTGCTGATTGAGATTTTTGCATGGCACGGTGAAGATCGTTCTGAAACATAATTTTGCCAAAACGAAAACTTAATAACATTGTTAACGATAACTTGTATAATATTCACTGACAAACATATTTTCTAAGGATTTTTTCGCCAACCAACAGTTTAGAAACACTGGTATGAAAAGATTGATCAATGTTGGTTGGAAAATCTGTAAAATAATAATGTACAGTTGCGTTATTGACCGATCCGTCATATTGTCTATTAAAAATAAATAATAAATACTAACTGTGAAAATAAAGGGTACAGTTGTGATCAACTCTAAAAGGAAGTGGAATGATAGTAGTTGTTGCATTACATTTCCCTGAAATGAAACAAAAACATACAATGGTACTTATTTAACTTATACAATATACTAAGCTCTACTACTAGAAAGTCCCAAATAACCTCTTCGAATGCCTCAACAATTAACCTCTAAACATCTATAACCTACTGACATTTCTCAAAGACATCAATTTATACAAAACCATATACAATCAGAACAAAATAAAAATGTACACACCTATTCATTTTTAATTTTTAATTGTACTTATTTACTTATTAATTAAAAGCGGCCATTAATAGCGGCCAATTACCAATGCCTTGTGTTTATAATAATAATATATGCTAAGCATTTTAATACATTTTAATAAAGTATTTTTTGTGTTGTTATTAATTAAAACCATTCAAAATTATAATAATAATTATAATAACTAATTTTTATGTTTAATACATTTTTAAATTATAATGTGAGAAAACCATACACCATTAATAACGGTCCCCATAACATAATATTATTTTTGTGGTTATAACGGTATAAATATTATAACTGGGAAAAATATCAAGTTTTAGACATTTTTACATGTGTACTAAAATAAAAGGTGTATTATAATATGGTGCCTTTTTATTTGGATAGTTATTATTCCATCGACGTTTTAATAATGTCTTCATAGTAACAAAAATAATCAATATCGATATGTTATGAACCGAAAATATAGGTCACGACTTTGTTCTATAAATACTAGTTGCTTAAATAAATTATAATCATGGTTATTGTACCTAATATAATATTATTTTTGTTGTATGTGTGCCTAACACCCGTAAGTACCAAATAAGTATATTCTCCACATTACGCTCAAGTCAATGTGAAATATTAACGGCTGAATTCACACGTAAGTACCTATCGTGCACGCACCATAGTTGAGTTACGCAAATTGCCGTTAATAGCGTAGTCTACTACGAAAAACCGTCTTCCAGACCATCTGAATAATATGTATGACGCCTGGCTGGCATTCTAAATGAGTAGAATCAGGCCACTTTTCGTAGATTACCTGCTACTTACCCACTCTACCCTTCTACGTTTTCCCTCTTTTTTTTTTCTGCTTTAAACATAAAAATGCTCTCTGTTGAGAATATTTAATAGTGTTTTCGTTTGGAAAATATTAACGGATCACTGTTTGAATTTTGATAGAAACCGATTTACGAAAGAAGGAATTTTCATACCCACTAGTGTATTATAGAGGTACAATGATAATATGCAATGTATGAGTTAAATAATATATATAGTTAGTTATGAATAACTATATATATGTATAGACAAAATAATGTCGAATTAAGTATTTCTATCCAATCAAAGAAAATACGTTTTGAAACAGGTAAATAATTCGAGTAATCTGAATTAATATTTATATAACCATTTCTTTTACTTTATCGAAATGTTGTACTCTCTCAAGATTATCCTTCAACGTGCTTAACGTGCTACACTCATTTTCAAAGTCAATCTTTGCAATTTAAATTCCTTCAAAGAAATTAAACTTTTTGAAACTTTTATGTTAAAGTAATTTTGTAAGTATTTCATTTATTTTATTTATAAACTCGCATTTTTTTAAAATTTAAACCTTAAGAAGAAATCTTAAGAATTTTTTATATTATTTTTATACTTTGACCGGTGATGTTTTGACTATTTAATGGTAATTTCCTACGAGGATACTTTACTGGTGAAATTTACAAGTCCGGCTTATGTAACAATGGGATCGTTTTAGAGAGATTAATAAAAGAAATGTTATTTTAGTTCAATGTGTCGTTGCATTATAGCTAATAATTGGCTATTTATAACTATTGAATATTATATTGGTGAAAATCTGTATCAAATTCTACTTATTTCAGATGTAGACAAGAAAATATTTATGAAATAGTTGAAAATGTAATTATTAAATTTTGAATTTTAAACAAATTTACATGACGTGTATATTTCCGAAAGCTTACATCACTTAAAACAATATTGTTCTAGTTGAAGAATAAAGTAGGGTATATACTTTAGAGGTTCAATATCAACATATACAGTTAACAAAATATATGTAAATAATATAATAGCTTCTTCGTAACGGAAGAAGAAAAACATTAATATTAATAATATTTTGTTTTAGGTATACCATACACATAACTGAAATATATCATTCGAATACATTTTAAGAATAAAATACTACATAAGAAACACGCTCACCAAAAAATCCATAATTTACAATCATAAAAATATATAAATTTAAATTTGTGTATAAAATTACCTAGATCTTCAGGTTATAACATTCTAAATTTGATTAACTGTAATACAAAATTAATCAAGAACTTCTATTATTATAAAACACATAAAAAATCAAGTTATAAAATAATTTTTTTTAAATATTTATATACACTACTATACTGAGGTACATTTTAAAATAAATTTTGCATTTCATCATATAAAAAATTAGTATTAAAAGACATATAATATCAAGAACTATAGAATATTGAGAAATAATTAATATTCAATGTACTTTTTAATGACGTAGTAAATGCAATATTATATTACGTTTTAATCGTTTGATATAATATTCATATTTATATTATTCCATTGCAGAAACTAATATTGAACTATTTTCGTAGTTTCGTAATAAGTCTAATGAATGACAGTAATTATTAAGTCTTATAAAATTAACAAAATATACAATTATAGAGTAGTGGGAGTTTAGTGTTGTACTGTTGTTTACTATAGTTTCACATTGAAGTGGAGCCAGTAATCTACTATTATTTTTACTTGAAAGCGATTTCAAATTACTGCCTTTAAAAACTGATTTTAATTGGAGCTCTCTTTAGTAAAATTAATTAAGTTAATTGCCCTATACAAACACGTTTAAAATCAGAGTTTTAAGCAGGATTGTTTTGCAATGCAATAATAAACCATTGAATATTCATAATGACCATAATATTATTATGTACTCTACTCTACTATTATGCGTTGAGGTTAATGAAGCAGCAGTCGGTGTTTGTATTAAAATATATTATTTTTATTAACACGGTTGTACGGCATATAGATGTAGGCAATATCATAGAAAAATTTTAAAAATACAATTTTAGTAATTGCAGAAAGCTCTCTTGGAATTTCGTACTCTTTTTATTTCATAATAAATTAAAGAAAACATTCGAGTAGTGTCATAATATTTATATGTACTCAAAATAAAACAAATCTTTATACAATAAACATTACAATTAAATAATAATATATTATAATATTACCTATATAATGTTATTTAAATTCATATTCATACAATATGTTACTTTGTCTATGACACTTTATTAATCACACTACAAATTGCTTAGGTAGTGAAATTTCAAAAAAAAAAAATATTTAATAAACTCCCTCGACATATCAATGGATATAGCCTGAATATAGACTTTAAATCAAATGCATGTTTATTTTCATACGACCAAAATAATATGTTCACACTTCGGCGAAAACCAATCAATTTATATTTTCATCGCGGGGCGATTATCTAAAATATATGCATTTGTACCACCGATACAATATTTATATACCTATACAATTCAATGTTGTGTATGACGTATATTATTAAATCGTAGTTTAACAGCATAATTGAATCTCAACAGTCAAAAAGTATCAAACAAACTGTATGCATTTGAAATGAATGATGCTGATGACTCCAGGGGTATTGATTCGCCCATAGTGCATAAATATAAAAGCGTGTTTACTTATACACGGAATGCCGAGAACGACGGATAGCGTCGGTATTCATTTTTAATTGAAAATTTCGTTTTAGTTTTGTTTTTAAGCAGTGTACGTATAGATTCAGAGTACGCAGAGTGAGAAATGTATTGGTTTTCCTATATAGTATTGATTTTTATTTTTATTTTTTGGAACTGTAGATTTGCTAAAAAAGTTTCAAGTAGTTATTTAATATTTTACACCGATATAGAATCTAGTCCGTCTGGTTGTTACTCTAAATAAATAATTGTTCGATTTTAGTTTTTACTTTCAGATACATATTTAAAATGTGTTGAAACGAACATCCTTATCGGTGATAAATTAAAAAATAGAAAATTGAAATATGAATATATTATCAATAAGTTTATCCTGATGTATACTTATCTTGTACCCACAATGTGTCAATGTGTTTTGTTTAAGACAAGAACTAGTTGATACCATTAATCATAATACCAATATTAATTATTAATTTAATAAATGCGGTATCAAATAAGTAACTTCAGATTAGTCATTAGATACTTTTGACGTATACCTAATAAATGATTTATTGTACTTTTCAATGAACATTATTGTGCAGGAGTAGGGAAATGGAAACAAAAGCTCACACTTGTTACTTTTACAATGCTGTTATGTGGAACACTGATTTTTAAACTAGTACAATGGCCGATCATACTTTTTTTTCATAAACCAATAATATTGTGTTTAGTGTTTACGTTTCCGGAAATCTACATGCGTGTTAGTATATAAATTGATTATTTTTATTAATCCATTGAACATCGTTTAATACATTTAACATGCACTTCAAAAATGAATCAAAATTTGATTTTAAAAACGATTTATAAAATATATAATCGATTGGTAATATAATTTAATATAATATAATAAGTCAATAAATTATGTATGTTAGTAGGTATATAACGATTGTAACGACTAGAACGTTAACGTAGTTATAGCTTTATAACCATTTTCTTGTGGTTTCAACTGTTAATTATTTTGAGACTTAAAGAAATTAATATAATTTCAAAAATGCCGAGATATAATTCAATAAAATCTTAAAAATAAGTCAAATATTAATTTGTGGTTATAACTTATAAAATTTGTTTTGACGACAATTTTTCTATAGAATGGAGTTGAGTTCTGAAAAATAATTATATAGGTAGATGTAGTTAATAGCTGATAATGCGTTGTTCCAAATTGTTATGTAGGTAAGTATTTAATTTGTTTGCTTAATTTAACATAATAGATTTTTTTATTAAACCTAATAAATAATTAATTTTTGTAATTAT